CATGCTCTTCAAAAATAAATGATAATGTACGAGTAGTGTGACATCTTAGAGTGCTGCCCACCTGAGTTGTAGAAATGTTTTGGGGGGAGTTGGTGGAATGACGTTGGCCCCAAAGACTTCTCCCCTCTGCGTCAGTTCTTTGTTGAATAGTCCTTCTGTTTGCGAGGTACTAAGACGTTTGCATAATTCAGTGACCCCGTCGTATTTCCTTGTGGTAACATCCAAACCTTCCGCTCCGTGCAACTGCATGTGGCCCTGGAGCTCTTGCATTGTGCAGTCGGACTTATCTCCAACGTCGCGGGCATTTTGTATCGAGTGCCTACCCCTCATTTTTGACAAAACTCTTTTCGCTAAATGTGTTAATTGAGAGTTTGGGCACACAGCTTCCAGAACCAGGATTTCATGTAATTCCAAAGCAGCATCCCACTAAATTAGGCAGGAGATGTCTGTTAGGCGCTATCGCGTTATCGTTCATAAATGGAAAATTTACACCTGAGATTGTGACACGCGCCCCAACGATAACGAACACCATTTTGAATAGTCGCGAAAGAGTTCAGCTCTACTGGGTTATGTCTTGCTTACTCCAATAATAGTGTTAGTTTCTGACATTGTTCACCCAGTAGACTTTCGAAAAAGATAATAAATATTTTACAAAAGCCTCTCAAAGAAACTGATTTAGAGTAAAATAGAAATTTCAAAAAGTAATGAATCACTGAAACTTGTCATCTTATTGAATGCATCCAAGAATATGTTCCCTATATTTCAAATAGCTTACCTTCTTGATCACTTGGTGATACTTTGAGTATTCATTTTTATGAAAAGATTCCCAACGCTTCTTAACCCTACTTTAAAGCAATGTTATTCTCGGTTTTCGAGTTAAAGACTTTGGCATTTTTTACACTCTGTATGCTAGCTTGCACCACAGATTTTTGACCGAGAGGAGAGCAGGACTTCACGACGATCACTTAAGCACTTTCACGCAGCAAGACACTAGTCAATTGATAAGTGAACAAAAATCTGGTGAGCCTAAATGTCTTTCTGCAAATTCCCAGAGTGTTGCCTACCTGTGACCCCATATGGCAATACTAAGTGTTCCTTCGTTTAGGTGGACATTTCTGATTGTTCATTACCAATCAGCACCGGTCAGCTGTTCCAGCTTGACCTTGGTTGGCGTCTCAGCACAAACTGAGTTGATTTTGAGGATGGACTCATCAACAAAACATCTTCATTCTTCACAGAGATCAAAATCACAATTAATTTATGCTCAGCTAATCGATATATTGTTAAAGTGGACTCATGAGTCAATGAACGTGTTATCATAGTATAGACGTAGTACACTACTTATATGGTTGATGAAAACACTTCAACATACACACACACTCTTCAACCACACAGCTAGGTTCACTTTTCTTGGGGATCATTGGCTACGCGCAGGCTCCGAGTACCATCTACCTACGGAGTTGTCGCCAGAGATATGGATGGACTGATGGATCCTATGGGTATTAGGAAGATCGTGGAGTCAGACAAGTAATGCGAGCTTTCCAGTAGAATGTAACTTATAGGAGCGGCTGTCACGTTTGATATGCACTGGAGGTATTTGTTTATTTTGTTTATTAAGGAAGGTCAAAATGGATTGCCCATTATTCTGGCCATGAGATGAACTTGTGTATAGCTGTCTAAATACTCGTTCCCTAAGTTCTCTGCTTACTCACGTGTTACCTAGGTATATAAAGGGTTTGACTTCGTATGATTTAGGGATGTAACTGGGATGTCAACATTTCGCAATCTAAGTTGTCACGCTGTCTCCCCGGAATTTCAAAACAGCGAAATTTCACAAAGCAGCATAGATAAGTTTTGTAAATGGAATGGATAATCTGACAACATACAACCAGTCGTAACCCGATAAGTTCATACGTTCATCAATATATGGTTAAAAGGGGTATTGTAAAAGTTCGGTGCAACACCAAAAGTTCACTGAGACAACAACAAGGCAATCTAATTTAAATAATTCTTCTCGGTATTGCTGCATGGTGATGTAGTCAGTCTCCATGACGGCAACCGGCTACAATGATTTTTCTTTGACCAATCACGTATCTTCAAACTTCATGAACTAGACTGGAAAAAAAGAAAATCCAGTGGCTAGGTGGCTCTCCGAGACAACGAAAACTGTGAAACATTAGAGTAACCTCTGTACTAAACACCGAGAACTGTATCATACAGCAACACTCATTAAGTTATCCCTCAGAAGGGAAACTCAAAACGGACCTTCTCCAGAATTTGATGCCATCAGAATTTAAGTCAACTCACTTCAAACAACTAACAGTTTATTACAAGCGGACGATAGTGTTTTAGTACTTAGATGGATCATGGTCCCAAATGCACATTCCAGACAAGATGCAATCACTTTGTAAACGACGAAGACCGCTATTGGAAGATATACATCAAGTTTACGGGAAACGTAAGCAATAATATTACTAATGTTGTGGAATGTAGGTAGCTCGGGTGCGCTGTTTGGTAGTTGGTCTGTTCGCCGAGCTTGGCAGTTGGATTGCAAACGTTTCATCACCAATCGAGGTGACATCGTCACTCAACCCTGCACTGAAGATGTCACCTCGTTTGGTGATGAAACGTTTGCAATCCAACTGCCAAGCTCGGCGAACAGACCAACTACCAAACAGCGCACCCGAGCTACCTACATTCCACAACATTAGTAATATTATTGCTTACGTTTCCCGTAAACTTGATGTATATCTTCCAATAGCGGTCTTCGTCGTTTACAAAGTGATTGCATCTTGTCTGGAATGTGCATTTGGGACCATGATCCATCTAAGTACTAAAACACTATCGTCCGCTTGTAATAAACTGTTAGTTGTTTGAAGTGAGTTGACTTAAATTCTGATGGCATCAAATTCTGGAGAAGGTCCGTTTTGAGTTTCCCTTCTGAGGGATAACTTAATGAGTGTTGCTGTATGATACAGTTCTCGGTGTTTAGTACAGAGGTTACTCTAATATTTCACAGTTTTCGTTGTCTCGGAGAGCCACCTAGCCACTGGATTTTCTTTTTTTCCAGTCTAGTTCATGAAGTTTGAAGATACGTGATTGGTCAAAGAAAAATCATTGTAGCCGGTTGCCGTCATGGAGACTGACTACATCACCATGCAGCAATACCGAGAAGAATCATTTAAATTAGATTGCCTTGTTGTTGTCTCAGTGAACTTTTGGTGTTGCACCGAACTTTTACAATACCCCTTTTAACCATATATTGATGAACGTATGAACTTATCGGGTTACGACTGGTTGTATGTTGTCAGATTATCCATTCCATTTACAAAACTTATCTATGCTGCTTTGTGAAATTTCGCTGTTTTGAAATTCCGGGGAGACAGCGTGACAACTTAGATTGCGAAATGTTGACATCCCAGTTACATCCCTAAATCATACGAAGTCAAACCCTTTATATACCTAGGTAACACGTGAGTAAGCAGAGAACTTAGGGAACGAGTATTTAGACAGCTATACACAAGTTCATCTCATGGCCAGAATAATGGGCAATCCATTTTGACCTTCCTTAATAAACAAAATAAACAAATACCTCCAGTGCATATCAAACGTGACAGCCGCTCCTATAAGTTACATTCTACTGGAAAGCTCGCATTACTTGTCTGACTCCACGATCTTCCTAATACCCATAGGATCCATCAGTCCATCCATATCTCTGGCGACAACTCCGTAGGTAGATGGTACTCGGAGCCTGCGCGTAGCCAATGATCCCCAAGAAAAGTGAACCTAGCTGTGTGGTTGAAGAGTGTGTGTGTGTATGTTGAAGTGTTTTCATCAACCATATAAGTAGTGTACTACGTCTATACTATGATAACACGTTCATTGACTCATGAGTCCACTTTAACAATATATCGATTAGCTGAGCATAAATTAATTGTGATTTTGATCTCTGTGAAGAATGAAGATGTTTTGTTGATGAGTCCATCCTCAAAATCAACTCAGTTTGTGCTGAGACGCCAACCAAGGTCAAGCTGGAACAGCTGACCGGTGCTGATTGGTAATGAACAATCAGAAATGTCCACCTAAACGAAGGAACACTTAGTATTGCCATATGGGGTCACAGGTAGGCAACACTCTGGGAATTTGCAGAAAGACATTTAGGCTCACCAGATTTTTGTTCACTTATCAAT